AAAAAAAAAAAAAAAAAGAACAGCTCTGACCCTCATACACTCAGAGTCTGCCTTACCAGAAAACATAATGGTAAAATATGAATAAAAAAGCAACTTGTAAAACAGAATTTCTAGATAAGCTTCAAAATTGAGGTACACTGGTGAGCAACTTCACTTTTGTATCATATATTCAGATGTGGAATATATAATCTTAATAACCATAAACTATTGTTCAAATAGTTCCAAGAAATGCTTTCATCTTACCAAATTTGATATTTTGGCTGTCATTCCTTACAACATAAAACTAAATTAAATGGCTCTGTCTTCGAAATTAAGCTTTAACATTCTTTATTTTTAAAAAAAGATACAGAACTGAGGTACAAGCCAGAGATGCAGTAAGAGTCTTCACCAAGACAGGTGGGGAGCAGAACAGGCAGATCTATGAGGTACACTGCTGAGGGAAGCAGTGGGGTGATACAGGAAAAATCTGCTGTGGCCTGTGTCTCACCACCTAGCGGGGGCTTGAATTCACACTGAATGGCTAAGGCGAGCATACAGCGCTCTGTTCTAAGCCATTGTGTCACCAGGGAGTGTCTAGTTTTTAACATTCTTAAAAGTAAATTATTAAATTATTCTTAATTATCTTTATATTAGCTGTCAGTATGAAAGTAATACTCAAAACATTTTTAGAAATTAATCGACTTAGGACCCTGCCTGGTGGCTCAGCAGGTTAAAGCACAGCACTAAGGAGTTAAAGCCACTTTAGCATGAGTTTGATCCTGATTCGGGGGATGATCCACATATCATGGCAGACCTCTCCTAACACGGCCCCTGCTCCCTTCAGCAGTGTACTTGGTTGAACTGACTGTTCTGCTCCGTACTCTGGCTATGGTGAATCCTCACACCACCCACCTCTGGACTGTACCCCGGCTCTGTATGCATAAATAAATAATTTTTTTTTAAAAAAATTCACCTACTTAAAAACAGAAATAGGAATGAAAACCACTAATGTGCCCACCTATTACAAACAGGATATGACACAGTACATACTTCTGAACAGGTCCAGTGTGCCTGATTTCTCGCCATTCTTCATCTGGATTAGATGTAATAGAAAGTGAATAGCAACCACTACTTTGCTTCTGCAGGAAGGTGTAGGTAGGTTTGGCTGTGTCTATATTTGAGGTCTGTCAGAAAATGGAAAGGAAAAGGTCCCCTTATAAGTACATAAATACATACTACCTCTTAAAAGTACAAAGTTAAAACCTAAACTTATAAGAAATAATATGAATGATGTCCACATCAATAAGTTACACCTATATTTTCCAAATTTCAACAGCTATGACCAAATCAAAAAAATGCTTTTGACTAAAAGAGACTGCATATACAATGATCAAAATTTAGCTTGAAGTACTAGTTCCTTGTCTGAACTTTATAATTAAAGGAGAATTTGAAAACTTTGCTGTCCTAATTGAGCAAAAGTAGTAGTATTAGTATCAATAGTTGGAAAAATAAAATATAAAAGAAAAACTAAAATAGTTAATAGATAATATATTATTAAATGAAAAGTAAAACACATCATAAAATTATTCATGCAAAATTTGTACAATGTTATATATAAGGTGGTCTTATGCTTCTTCCTCCACTAATGTAGCTTTCGACAGAACTTTTAAAAACTAAAGTAGCCCCAGACCAACTCCATGTGTTGTCTGGGTTAAAACTTAATAATCAATTTTTTTTTTCTAGAGGTATGTGGCAGAGAAATAAAAGCCATACATATAAAAATAAAAGCCAACCTCCCATAAAAATAAACATAAACCTTTAAACTTACTATATTCAATATAGTTTTAAATTGCAAAAAACAAAGCAAGTCTTTCTAGAGTCCCATAATATTAACATCTTTTCTAAGCATAGTAGAATTATAGAAATTCACATTTGTAGAATATTATAAAATAAAAAAATTTATTCTGATTTCACTAGTTTTTTCACTAATATCTTTTTCTCTGTACAGGATCCTAAAATTTCCCCAGTCTTTCCTTGTCTTACATGATCTTGATCTTTATGATATTCTAAGTAAATATGGCCTGTAAATTTGTATTTTATAACTGGGATTTTCTTATTTTTCTCACTATTACATTGAAGTTAAATAATACTTGGAAAGTGATATACCCTCAGCATATGACATAATAGGGTATATATTAGTCAATATATCTTACTGCAGATTATGTTAAGTTTGATCACTAGGGTTAAGGTGAAGTCTTCCAAGTTTCTCCACTGTAAAGGTGCAACTTTTCTTTTTGCAATTAACAAATTAGGGGAGAGATTTAACATTATGCATATGTACTGTTTCTCCTTCATTTTTCACTATTAAATTTTGTGGAAACTTAACAATCGTAAACTATGGTCCAGTGGTTGTTTTATATTGCTCTTATTCTACTTTTATTAACTAGAATAATTTTCTAAGAAAAATTGTCACCTCTCTAACATTTACTCATGCATTCAGTGACTTAAATATATCTATACAAATTCACTGAGATTTATTTTATTCTTTATTATTGACTTTGTTGATCAGACTGTTCCATTCTGAGTTCTCTCAGAATAGTTCCTGTGCCCCCTTGATAATCAGCATTTTGAAATCAACCTAACATCAATGTAAGAATTTTTACTGAAACTTCCCTTTCCTTTTCACCAGTTATATTAATCAGTGCTAACCTGAGATACTGGCTTCATCTTCATTTCTTCAGCAGCAGCAGCAACAGCAGGAAAAGAACAACTTGAAGCACAGTAATAATGAATAAAGGAACTTTCTTTTGAAGAAAGGTTCTGAAATAAAGGAAGTGCCTGAAGCCAAGTCAATGGATAAGAAAGCTCTAAATCCCCATTGGTTGTACTTATTGCTCTCATAATATCTTTCAATTTTAATTCTTCTCTTTGTGAAACAGAATTGTGTAGCTCAAGAAAAATGAATTCATTGGATTTTGCTAAAAATAAAAAAGAAACCAATCTTTATCAATAATATTATTTTCCAAGTTTAATTATTAATAATAGTAAATTGATATATAAGCCAATATTTTATGTTAGTTAATAACCCAGGTAAATTTTATCCCAAAATAGACCACGAGTAATCTAGACACAAAACTCACAATGTTTAGACTCTTACTGCATTACAATGGAAACTTCACAATGGTAGTGACTGCTATAATTCCAGTCACTGGTACAAGTAAATATTTGTCATTAAATGTATAAATTAATAAATGGCGAGCAATTAATTATTGTTCTTTAATCGCCTCCATACATAAAACCTATCAAGTAAGTATTCCAAGCCAAACATTTCCTTCATAGTAACTTTTTTTCATTAACTGTATTAATATAGAGCTCAGAAGATATTCTTTCTCCACATGATTTAAATGGTTCTCTCTACTTTCCTAACTTCTTTGCTATTCAATCATTTCTCCCAATCAACTTGGGATTAGAATAAGAAAACCATTCTAAAGGCATAAATTTGTTTAACACCTTTATTTGTTTTTAAATAATATCTTTAATGTATCTTTTTTTAAAGTTTTATTTATCTATGAATACAAGAGCTGCATATGTAAATGGGGTACAGGCCAGGCCAGCAGTGCAGGGGGTGGTGGTGAAAGGGCTCACCAGAAAGAGGGGGAGGATTAGAATGGGCAAATCTACTGAAATACACTGTTGAGGGGATTAGAGGGTGAGGCAGGAGAGGTCTGCTGTGCCATGTGGGTCACTTCCCTAGCGGGTGATTTATTTCAGGCTGCAGTGGCAATGGATAGTTTCATTGTATTCCAACTTAACCCTTTGTGCCACCAAAGAGGCCCTAATCTGAATATCTGCAATGTGCAAGGTAAACTGGGGGAAAGGCAGAGAGATTTTATCCAATTCCTAAATCAAATTTCTTTAAAGAGCTAGAAACTAAACACAATTGGTAAACAACATAGATGAACATAAAGAAAAGTGCTATAGGGACATACAGTGCTGTAGGGGCATCCCAGTCTTAGAGAAATGATATATATGTGTTTAGTCTCTTTTTTAGAAACTAAAGAAAATGTTGAAGATAAAGACTTCTGTATTTTATTTAGCTTTACCGCTGTTTATTTCTGTCACAGTTCATTATGACACCTGGATGAGAATCTCATAAGAAATATAGCCAAGGGGCCTCTCTGGGAGTGCAAGGGGTTGAGTCTCAGCAATATTAAGCTATCACCAGCCAATGCAGCATGAGTTTAATCCGCAGCCAGGGAGCTAACTCACATGGTGCAGCTAACCTCTTGTCCGCTGCTCTCCTCAACAGTGTATTTCTATCTATCTGCCTGTTCTTCTCAATCTGTCTGGTGAATCCTCTCACTCCCCACTACACACCTCTGGCCCACATCTCAGTTCTTGTATGCATAAATAAATAAAAATAAGTCTTTAAAAAAGAAAGAAAGAAAGAAATATAGCCAAGGAGTGCAACTAAAAATATAAAGTAACACCTTTTATTTGAGAAAATAATTTGACTTGCTTGAGTAAATTTATCAAGAGAAGTTAAATAAAATTTTAAAAAACTAAAAGATGTAACATTAAGGAACAAAACTATTTTTTAACTCAGTGAAGTAAATTTAAGTTCAATGAAAGAATTCTACTAAATTATTTTAGAAGATAAAATTATTCTAAATGACTTTAACAAAAATTATGTACTACTTTATTTACATTTCTCAGGTTATCCTAAAACTTACCAAATTTGAAATTTATACTCACATTGCTGGCTTAACATAGTGTTTTCTAACTGGGTCTGAATAGCTTGAAGATAATCTGAAGAGACCCAGAGAAAAAGAACAGCATGACTCCTTTTCCCATGATCATCATCCTTACTTTTCCATAACCCAAATCTCTTTAAATGTGTGGTATCCACCAGCAATGAAATCTCATTCATGGACACTGAAAAATGTTAAAATAAATTAATGGACCAATCTACTTAGGAATACAACAATTACATAATACATGATTTATTGAATACACTACATTTTTCAAAAAGAATTATACATGAAAATTTACAAAAATATATTTCCAGAGTACTTCACTAGATAATTAGTTGAAATATCCCAAGCATTATTATTAGTGTAAAAAAAGATCATCTTATATTTAGAAAATAGTCAAGTAATTATTAAATGACAATTAGAGTCTAACATCTCACACAGTATAATCTGTTATATCCAGGAAGGAAAACATCAGATTACATTTTCATAATATAAAAACTGTCAAAAGGGGGCCCTCCCTGTTGGTGCAGTGGGTTAAAGCACAGCACTAAGAAGCTAAAGCCACTTCCACATGTGTTCAATCCCCACCCCAAAGGTGATCCACATGGTGCAGCAGCCTTTTCCTGACCCATGCAAGCTGCTCCCCTCAGCAGTGTACTTCGTCAGTCAGCATGTTCTGCTCCCCCCTCTGTCTGGTGAATCCTCTCACCTCACCGCCCTTGCACCTCTGGCCTATACCCCAGTTCTGTATGCATAAATAAATAAGTAAATCTTAAAAAAAAAAAAAAGACCTGTCCAAAGAGATTTATCACTGGGAAAAAAGAGTCTCTTATCAATGCAAAAAACTAAGAGTCTAAATTAGAAAAGCATGCATTCCTTGCAAACTGGTCCAACCACTGTGGAAAGTTGTGTGGAGATTCCTCAAACTACTAAAAATGAAGCTTCCAGATGATCCAGCAATTCTACTCCTAGGAGTCTACCCAAGGGACATGAAAACATTAATTCAAAAGGATATCTGTACCCCTATGTTTATTACAGTACTATTTACAATAGGTAAGATATGGCTAGAAGTGATTATGCTCAGTGAAATGCACCAGAAAGAAAAATATCTAATAGTTTCACATAAAGGAGCAACACAGAGGAACCACACAAGTTATCAGGGAAAAAAATAACTGAAAAATGAATAAAACAATTGAAAAAGCATAAATTCCTATGTCACCAATACTAACAACCAGGCAATAAATAATTATGCCTTTTTTTCTCCCAAAACATCTGCATTGCATAACAGAGACTAGACACAATCAAGATATTCTCAAGAATAATGTGTTTCCAAATGTTCAAAAAAAAATTTTCAAATTCTTCCAATGATAAGTAAATAATTAAATAAAACATGATCTTTTCTGAACTTGTTTCCTTTTAAATGACAGCTATTTGTTTCTTCCAAATGAGTAATATTATATTATTCCTCAATAACAACAAAATTTTCTAAGTAGGACTATGAATATATTCACTCTATGCCTTACATATTCCTACTATTGATAGTAGCTTCCAAATTCTTATATTCATCACCATCATATATAGCTTATGGAGTGTACACAAGGGTATCTGGGAGGTCCAACTGAAATTACTTCAATCATACCATCATTCTGTGGAAGGATGAATTTATTTCTCTAGTTCATATCTGAAGTATACAGTGCATTCTCAGTATTTTTCTCCCTCATTCTTTTCACAATTCATTCCCTAAAGAGATCTTTACTGTTTTTATTTGTTTTCTTAGTTTTATAAATTCTGAAAAGTTTTTACATGGAGAGAAAATGAAAAATGGCCTAAGTCTCTACAAATTGCAGGAATATTTTTTAGTCTACTTTACCTTGTTCAGCTAAGAAAAGTATTAAACAAAAATCTCTTAGCACTTCTTCAAAAGCATTTTACATGTTGATGTGTATAACATCAAAATTGAGATTTTAGGCAAGGAATGCAAGCTAATATAAAAAATAAAAAAATAGATAATATATAAAATGAAGCTTCAAAAATAATTAAACTTCTTTCTTTATAGACACTATTCTTATACATTTTTGTAGATCAAAAATTTCCTTCCTACCAAAATATTTCTATTAATCCCAAGAGGTCACCAGAGTTCTTTTACCATTGTTTAACTTAAAATTATGAAAGCAATTATATCAACTTTCAGTGTTTTCAGATATTTTAATTCTTTCAAAAATAGTGCTAGGTTGAAATACATTATTAAATTTAGTTTTCATTAAATCTTAAACTGGGAGAAAATATAGAGAGCAAGTTGGAAAAAGATTTCACAATTTTTGCTGACCAATTATTTTATAATCAAAATATCAGTGAAAATGGGGTATAAAAATGATAGCTTACCTTGGAATGGGATCTTAACATACTTTGGTGTGAACTAAAAGAAAAGTTAAAAGCAAGTAATGAGTTGATATAACATTCAAAATATGTTTCTACTGAAATATCTGAAGTTTTTTCTTTTTCTAAACCACAGTACACATTCAAAATATACCTTAAGGTATTCAAGATTTTATGACTAAACCAAGAATATATTTCACTTAATTTTATGGAAGTTTAAAAACCCTGTGTAAGTAATTTAATTTTCAATATGTACAACTATGAAAACCAAAGAGAACTTAACTACATGTTTTCTTAACATTTTACAAAGAAATAAATTCTGAATAAACTACTAAAAAACCTCATAAAGCAGCACTGATTTCTGTAAACAAGACTAGATTTGGTTCCAAACATTCATCTTTTCTTGATCCATGTTTCTAATTCACATACAGCAAGATTCTTGCCTTTTCTGTGTCAAGACATTAATTTTTTTCTTAGTACAGTGTAATAAACTCTCAAGAGCTGTGGAACACTGAAATCTCGCACATACCAAATGAAACATATTTATGCTTTGAAGTTTGTCAATTAATGCTGAGTTCACTTCTATTTATTCTTTCATTAATTTTAATCAATACATTCATGATGCTCCTAACCAATTTGTAAGTACAAAACAAAGTCGAAAAAAACTTTGGGACATGTGTACCTTAATTAGCTACCAACAGAGTTCCAAATAAGTGGTTAAGACAATGTTCAATGAAGCTACAGGTTTACTGTAAAATTTAAACATTATTTTACAGTATAATTTCACAAATATAAAACTCATATGCTACTACATCATTAAAGCAAAATATAAGCAAAAGGATATATGTTAAAAGTTGAACTTAAGTTTGAAATCCTACATCTATTATTTTTTCCAATTACATATATGATAAATAGGCAAACAGGAAACTACTGCACTTCTCTAAGTTACATAAGATCCTTATGGGGGAACTATAAAATCATTAACTAGTAACACCTACTTAAGAATGTTACATAGTTTAATTTAGTCAAATATGCCTATTATTCTATCACTTTCACACAACTACTACATATATTTTGTATATATTTTCCCTTATCAAATCTTTTTGACATGTTTTACTGGGTCTTTAATGTCAAAAAATAAATCTTAGCAAATACAAATAATTTGTTCTAAAATATGGATATAAAGAGTGTAAGATTGCAAAGTCATTAAAACAAAAGAATAAAGCAGAAATAGTGCAGTTGTATATCCTTGACCTCTTTATTACATTATTCTCTCATTCAACTGCCATGAGTTCTTGTCCTATGAAACCTTTTCTGTTTGGGCAAGGATCTAACACTCATTTATATCTTTAGTGATGATTAAGCCAACATACTTTTCCTATCCCCAGAGCAAAAGTCTGTTCCACCAAAAAAGCAATGCCCATTTAAGCAAATGAAAAAAAAATGTTTTTGTGACAAGATAAACCCAGTTCTCTGAAATCATACCACATCTATTTAAAGTTGAAAATAAAGCTGAAGGCCTCCCTGGTGGCCCAGGGGTTGTCCTGGCTCTATCACCACCACGACTTGAGTTCAATCCACTGGCAGGGAGCTGACCACATATGATGAAGCAATCCTTTCCTCTCTCACCCACTGCTCCTTTCAGCAGTGTATTTCAGTAGATCTGACTGTTCTGTTACCAACTCATACCTCTGGCCTGTACCTCAGTTCTTTTATCATAAATAAATAAAACTAAATCTTTGGGGGGTAAAGAAAAGAAAGCTGAATGTAACAGCTCTCTCATAACATTAAAATATCAGTATAGTTCTTCAAACATATGTTCTGACTAGTATTTTTCACTATCAACAGAGTTGAGATCTAAAAAATGAAAATGGTAAAGGGTGACTAGAACATGTGTACCCACAGAAAAGCAAAATGCATCCCAAAATTAAAAATTAAAATGTCCACATCTACTGCAGCATTCTCAACACTAAAATAACCTAAATGTTCAACTATAAGAAAAGGGCTATAATTTATATGAGTTTTCTAGTATAGGATTTTTTTTTTTAAGATTTATTTATTTGTACATACAGAACTGGGGTACAGGCCAGAGGCTCAGGGGCGGTGAGAGGATTCACCAGAGGCAGAGTGGGGAGCAGAACAGGCAGATCTACGAAGTACACTGCTGAGGGGAGCAGTAGGCGGGTCAGGAGAGGTCTGCCACACCATGTGGTCACCTCCGGGGCAGGCAGGAATCGAACTCATGTGGAAGTGGCTTTAGCTTCTCAGTGCTGTGCTTTAACCCACTGCACCACCAGGGAGGGCCAGGATTTTTTTCCAATTCAGTTAAACTATAATTAACATGAAAGTGAGAACAACATCTCCATTGTCTGCAACAACACAAAGTAGATCTCATTTATTTCGGAGAATGAGTGAATTTATATTTGTGGACCTCCTCCAAAAACATTTTTTAATTTCTAATGTTACAGACCATCCTATAATATGTATGAAAAAGAATACACAGAATAATTCTTTTAAAAAACTTCTTGAAATTTTTAAGATGTTTATACTCTTTTCCTTTTTGGTTTTCATTATACTTTTTAATTTTTTAAATTATGTATGCTCTATCATAACTTTTTCAGAATTACTCTAAGCCTATATTCAAATATAGGCATTTTATCTATATATATATTTGCTTTGATTTTTTTAAAACCATTTTCCTACAATTAAACATTTTTTTATTTTACTTATAAGAAATGTTCCAACAAATATGAGACAAAATTTAAAGACCCATTTTATGTCATGTATTGAATATATGCAGTCCCTTACTACTTGTGATATCAAAATGCTGGGATAACCAAACTGTCCAGTAGTAAGGAAAAGGACAATCCAAACATTCCAAAATAGAAGCATGAGTTTAAATACCACATTGTGATTACAGTAAGCTACAAAGTCATATGTATGATATCATATTCTTTTGTTTTTAAAAATGTATATGCAACTATTATGAAGAATAAGGAATGATGCACACTACAGAGTTCATAGCAGTTATCACTGAATAAGTAAGATTATATTTGCTCTTTAAATTGTTCCTTTAGAACTCTTGGACACAGTTGGTGGGAATGTGTACCCATGTAAAAGAGTATGGAACTAAAATAATCAAAATAGATCTACCATGTAATCCAGCAGTTCCACTGCTAGGTCTCTACTAAGAGAACATAAAACACCAATATGAAGGGTTATATGCATTTCTAAGTTCACTAAAGCATTATTTACAATAGCCAAGCTATGCCTAAAGACAGATGAGTGGATTATGAAGATGTGGCATATATAAACAATGGAACTCTACTCAATTATTAAAAAAAAAAAAAAAAGGTAATTCAACTTTTGTGACAAGATCAATTGAACTGGCAGGGATTACTTAAGCTATGAAAATAAAGGAGGAGAGGGCCCTCCCTGGTGGCACAATGGTTATGTCACAGGACTGCAAGCTAGCCCCAGCCACCTCAGTGCAAGTTCAATCCTCCCACTCCCAGGTTATCCACACGGTGTGGCAGGCCTCTCCTGTCTTGGTGCTGCTCCCCTCAGCAGTGTACTCTGTCGATCTGCCTGTTCAGCTCCCCACTTTGTCTCTGGTAAATCCTCTCATCGCCCCTGCAACTCTGGCTTGTACCCCAGTTCTGTATGCATAAATCAATAAATCTTTTAAAAAAAGAGTGAAATAGGAATTTAAAAAAAGAAAATAAGGGAAGAGAAGACTAATACTGGATACTGTCATATATATGTATAATACAGAGAAACAAAACAAAGGGTCAGAGGCAAAAAAAAAAAAAAAAAAAAACGTAGAAAGAATATTGACCACAGAAATGAGGATATACCTTCGGGGGTTACAACCAACATGAAAAAATACACAAAATGAAGAATGATGTTTTGTGTGTGTGTGTGTGTGTGTGTGTGTAATAAAAGCAAAACAAAAGAAATGAGGGTATCAAGAGGAAGAGAAGAGGTAAGTAGAACAAAGTGAGGAGGGAAACAAATGGACTATGGTAGAGGACCTTCCGTGCCTTGGTGGCAGATATGGTGTGGGGGATATAGCCTACTTCTGAGTCACATACAATGCTTTCAACCAATGTTACCTTTTCCCTTTATCAAGACCATCTAACTGCATAATGTTGTACTTAATTCATTAATGAAAACCCCAATGCGAGTATCTGTCACATTTTCTACACCTTTTTAGTTCAATCATTATATAAGTTATCCAAGTTCTTGTCATTACAAATGGATCAACAAAAATAAAGAGTTAAACTTGAATTAAAATAACAAAGCAGTGAGGAAGCCCTGCAGAGGGAAACTGTCTGCAGCAGAGGTAGCTCGCAGCTTTTTGCCCCAGCCCTGCTACAACCCTGGAGATAACTGAGACAATTCAGCTAGGGAGAGGAAACTAAATTGTGGGAAAAGGCTGCAGCTCGGAACCAGAGACCCAAGGATATGCCTCAGAAGTGTTGCTGAACTTTGCCCCAGCAACCACAGATGTGTTGCTGTCCTTTGCCCTAGCAGCCCTGACAAAGCCCTGGATATAAACTAAGACAACACAGCTAGGTGAGTGGATCCCAAGCTGCTCTACTTAGAGCTCTACTTAGCGCCTGGGAGGTGGAAAAGAGGAACTGGAAGAACTGTGAATTGGGGCTCCTCTAGCCCTTCCCGCATCTCCTGCCCCCACAACAGAGATCTGAGACTAGGCAACATTAGGATTTGGTCAGGTCTTGGTGCCAATCTTAAGACGTGGTGAATACGACTCACAAAGCCCCTGAGTTAAAGAGGGGAAAAAAAAACAAAAACAAAACAGACAGGACCCAACCACAGGCCCAACCCTAGGATAATGCAGCAATTTTAACAATATTGCATGTGCACATTCAACATAGAGAGGCCCTAGGAAGTGCCTCAAATGGGGAGACTTGCTAAGGGGTCTTCGTGCTTACCACATCTATCTACAAAAACTGTGGTAAAACCCTGGAGTTAAAGAGATACAGCTGGGCTCTGTGAAAGGACCTCAGGCAGGGG